CGGGAGCGTGCAGCCCTGGCCCCCAGAGCGCTGCACGCGGGGCAGCATGGCTCCAGGAGAGGGGGGAGGGTGTCTGCCTCCTCGCAGAGCCAAACGCTGCCCCGCAGGAGCGCGTGCAGCCCCGGCCCCCAGAGCGCAGCGCTGCGCGTGCGGCGGCAGGACTCATGGGGAGGGAGAAAGGCGGGGGAGGGGCCGGTAGCTTGCTGCACTCGGCCGGGAAGCGCAGACCCCGCGGCTTGCTGCGCCTGGAGAGGGGGGCCATTTGCCCACCCCTGCATTAGGGTGTCCCCGGGCACACCCGGCACACCCTGTGCGCATGCCTATGACCCAAATATGTACCACTCTGACACCCTGGGTACATATTTGGGTGGCTAGCCCAAGCTGCTGTCTGTACTGCCTTGGATACACTGCTATTTTTAGCGCACTAGCTTGAGCAGAGATAGCATGGGTATGTCTATGTGATCTGGGAATTACACCTCCCAGCTCAAATGCAGATGTACCCTAAATGTAAAGGCAGTACTAGAATTGAGACTCTCAGTTCATTAAGCAACCTGAACATATCAGAGCTCCTTTCTATATGGTACATAATAGCATACAGTTGTATTTGCAGATTTTTATTATGATCACATTTGGAAGACAAAGCCCGGTGTTTTTGACTGTTTGTTTATATTAAAATTAGACTTTTAAAAGGCGGTTCAGAAAAAAATACAGTAGTAGCCTAGGTTCTCTTCTCTCAGAACTATAGCTGACTTTCTGTACTTTCAGGCAAAAAATAGCCACTCTAATGATCTTCCCGGCAGCTCTGTTTATTGTCTTTCTTTTTTTGTTGGCATTAAAGGTGACAGATTTACGGAGTACATTGTTCATAGTTACTATGGTGTATAAAACACAGTGCTTTACAGCAACATGCAGCATGCTGTCAAGTCGGACAGGAGTTTGAGTTAGGAATTAAGCAAAAGAGGGGAGTTGAAGAGGAAACTTAAGTGAGATGCCCAAGTAGTTTTGTTTGGTAGTATGTACCAGGTATATCATGGAACAAATGTGATTGGACCATAGCTGCTGATATAATTTCCTGTGCCTGGGAGGGAGAAAAGTGTGGTGCACCCACAGGGGCTGTGAGCTGTACTGTGCAATTCCAAAGACAGCTTGAAGACATATAGTTGTTGCATATCCTGTGGATTAATTGAATCCAGATCTTTGGAATCCAGCTTTTTTTTTTAAACTGCTGTCACTGTTGTTTTTCATTTCATTAAAAAGACCTGAAACTGGAGCCAGGCCAGAATTTAAACTAAACTAAACAAAACAAAAAAATCATAATGTTTGTCATCCAAGACATCCTCTGGCTGGGTAATATTTGGCTACAAAACCCTGGAAATACACCACTGCTGTTTACCCCACAAATACATTTGCCCACAATGACCCAAGCCGCACAGTGCACTCGTCTACTTTCTTGGCGCTTGGCATTTTCTGAATACATAGGTCATAGGAGGCAAGTGTTAGCAAAATTTATACAGATGTTGTTTTATTTTTATAGCTCTCCTCCATTTACTGGGTGGCATTTCCTTCAGTGTTAACAACAGAGGTTAACTGCACACAGACGTGTATAGGGACTCTTGCCAGATTTTTTTTTTCCCCCTCCTTTAAATATGTTTCTCCAACTTGGTCATTTTTCCCCCTTGGCTGTAGACAGTCTCTTAGAATTCAGATTTAATTGGTTCAGTCTATTCTGGAACCATCTGCTGGTTTAATGTTTATAATAAATATTATATGCTTTTCACAAAATAAAACAAAACACTTTTCTAAAATTCAATACAGATATTTAGATATTTGCTCACTCTCAAACAATAGTCTGTTTAGTCACTTAATGTGAAGTGACACACAAAAAAAAATGATTCTGTATGTGTGTTGCATATTCCAGTCTTTTTTGTTTAAAGCTTTGCAGCAAGAGCTCTGAAAGCAAAACCCCTTTCTGAAAGGCTTCTAATCTTCCCATTTTGCAGTTGACTAAACAGCGTCTGGTGGATGCAGATGGAATCATTAACCCAAATGCTTTCTACATCTACCTGACAGCCTGGGTTAGCAATGACCCCGTGGCCTACGCTGCCTCTCAAGCCAACATCCGGCCTCACCGTCCAGAATGGGTCCATGACAAAGCAGACTATATGCCAGAAACAAGGCTGAGAAGTAAGTAACGTTTAATCTTAATGTCTTATAGTTTATATAAGTGCCTCACCCCTTCCTTAAAGGCCCAGTAACTCTCTAGTTACTTGACACTGTACAGGTCTCAGAAGCATAAACAGAACAATATATTGTGTTACTTTAAAACCTCGGGAGACAGATGCAGTTGTGTAATATAGTATAATGTGGTACCACTGCAGGACTTTATCATGTTGAATAATTAGTTGTATAATAGTTTATATCTAAGCTCTAAAACTTGCATTAGACATTTCTTTTTAACACTGCTTGTTAATTTTGTATGCAAGGGAAACCTTCAGAGTGCATAACATTCTGCCTTTGCCATACCAGAGTTTCGTCATTGAAAATTATATCATGTTTATCCTAAATTTGTCACCCTAGTGTGGAAGAAATTTTTGGCAAGTTAGGTCATTCATATAAGCCACCCATACCTGTATTGTGCTAGAGCTGTTTGGGTAGGGGAGAAGTCAGTGTAAGAGAGTGTCATCCTTCCTTTCCACCTGCTCCCATTCACCTTTTTACATTATGAATGGTAATCACGAGTTGATTTTCTTTGCTTTTACACTGGATTTATTGGGTGGATTGCTAGTTGGTTACTGAGGGATGGAAGGGGAAGGAGAGGATTGGTTCTCTTGGAAATGCGATTGGATAACAAGCAAGTTGTGCTTCACTGTATCCGAACCCTAGAGCTTTGTGGCAGTCAGCCAAGTCTTGTCTTAATGAAAATTTATAGTTGAGATTATAATAGGGCAAATCATGTTTAGCAAGTCAACTGAATGACCCTGCAGGGTCTGGAACACACAGCGGCAGTAACTAAATGCTTGTTGTGGAAGACTCTATTTTTCTTTTGGTATTACAGTAGACTTAGCGTTACATTCAAAAAGAAGCATGGAAAATTTAAGTTTGTCAGATCATTAAAGGATAAAATGTTATGTATTTCCTCAATAAGCCTTTACTGGTAAGGGTTTTTTTTACCTTTTATTTTATTTTTTTTGTATGGATAGTGGCTTTTAAAATAGACAACTGAAGAATTACAAAATAGAAAGGCCTGATTCACCACTGCATAAATTTAGTTTAGAACCAGTTTAATTCCACTGATTTTAGATAAATATATGTTGACTTCACAGGAGTTACACCAGCATAAAACGGGAGTAACAGTTTTATCTGAAACTAATTTTTTTTCAAACAAAATATTTAAAATATAGGGAGAAGTGTTTGAGAAGGTTGCCCTTTTGTTTATTTTACATTACATACAGAGTACTATGGACAGATAATAAAGTGATAGGTGCCACAGTAATTCATATATATAATATTAGATACCCATTTACATTAAATAATATCATCAAGCTGGTCTTGAGTATGATGTACAGTGTAATAATTGAATTACACAGCAAGGTGTGAAATATAGTCATCTGTTGTGATTAGAGTTTTTAAAGTAGCCACAGAAGTTCTGGAGTTTAAACAAAGTAATTAATTGTGACTCAAATTTAACACTTTTCCACAGAAAACAAAGTGCTTTAATCATATTTATTTCTCTGCATATTGTTTTTTCTTCCTTTACAATCTGTATTTAAACATTATCATCTTTCTCTTAGTTCCAGCAGCTGAGCCCATTGAATATGCTCAGTTTCCTTTCTACCTCAATGGATTGCGTGAAACTGCTGACTTTGTGGAAGCTATTGAGAAAGTGAGAGCTATCTGTAACAACTACACCAGCCTTGGGGTCCCCAGCTACCCAAATGGATACCCATTTCTTTTTTGGGAACAGTACATTGGGCTTCGTCACTGGCTCCTCTTGTCTATTAGCGTGGTTCTGGCTTGCACATTTCTGGTGTGTGCCCTCTTTCTCCTGAACCCCTGGACGGCTGGGATCATTGTAAGTTTATTATAAGGTTCTTTGTTAAAGGCAAATTCCTTTCAGCCTAGCTCTTGCTGCAGTCAGAAAGGTTTTGTTTATGTCTGGGCCTCTGGTGGAGTATGTATATTGCATCATTCATGATATATTTATTCAACTTGAGGGGGTAGGGTTCATGGTAAAGGTATAACCCTTAATAACCTTAATCTTTTGACCACACTCTGGTAGCTTTAAAGCTTTCTTATAAACATAACTAAACTTTTGCCCCTGCTCAGATACTCATGAACATGAGAAATGAAGCATGGAGGAAAATTGGAATTTTTAAGTAGCTATTAAAAAAATTCTACATTCCCCGCACCCCCAAGTTTTTTTAAATCAAACAAAATTATTTTTCATGGCAGTTTCTTATTTATACATCTTGCCCATAAACAGTAAATTACTGTACTATCTTCTGGATGTGAATCTTAGAAGGATAAGAAGGAAGTATGGATAGGTGAACAGTTGTACAATACACACTGAAAAAGGAGTGTAGGCATGTCTTTAAGGAGAAAGAGCAGTAAAATTATAAATGATACAGAATACTCCTTCATGAATTCCTTGTAATAAACATTCATGTTAAATTGAATTATGATGTTCCTGTGTTTAAATTCCATAAACTATTGTATAGCTTATAAAATGCCAGAAGTAGAAAAGCACAGAGCAGTCACTAGTTTTTGTACTGTACATTTGTGCAACAGGTATGTTAAAAGGTAAATGTTTAGTCTAGAATATTTTTCATAGTACTCAATCAAACAATTTATGTTATCATTCATGATTCATTAGCTTATAAAATCATTTATTGTAGTACTTACATTTTTCTTGGGAAAGAGGGTTTATTTTAGAGTCCTCCATCTCTTTTAAAAATGTGTATTTTTTTTTTGTTGGCTCCAGAAACTTTTAAGTCTACTCCACAGATTTCCCCCCACCTCTCTACATTTTTTTTACAAGATAGATGAAAGAAAATAAAAGCTTTCCCTTAGATTTAACTGTTTGCTTTGTCCAGGCCAATCCCTCTAAGTTTCTTCAAAGCCAAGAGACTCTCTGTAACCTGACACTCATCAGCTGATTATGGCATTCACTTTCTTCCGGGCTTTAAACCTGCCCTTGAGTCATCTTCACTTACTCCATGAATTCTGCAGAAAGAACCCAAACCAGCTGTTTAAAAGTTGCTTTTCTACTTCTGCCTTCCTTTCATTTTTGAGAATATTGTTGGGGAAATGGGTTAAAAAACAGAAAAGTTATATTCTGATGGATGGGGATAGGGAGGAATAATAAATTATGTTTTAGATGGTATTGACAAGAGGTAACCAATGGAAAATTGATGTTTGCTCTGCCCACTGGATCCCGGGGGAATAATTTAAATTGACTCTTTTCAGGTCATTGCCATTGAATTCAATGAAATAAGGAAAAATAGCTTGCCTTTGGAAGGTGAGAGAAAGAGTGCTGTGAGGGTTGCATTTGCTAGTCCCACATTGTTTTGAAAGTCCTTTTCTTCATTTATATAGAGTATAAGAAGTTACTAACAGCTGTTTGAAATCATTTAGGTGGTGGTGCTGGCTCTGATGACCGTGGAGCTGTTTGGCATGATGGGTCTAATTGGAATAAAGCTGAGTGCAGTGCCTGTGGTCATCCTGATTGCTTCTGTTGGCATAGGAGTGGAATTCACTGTTCATGTTGCTTTGGTATGTAAAATTAGGCAGCATTTTTAAAGTATTTTGAAAATCTCTCCAAGATTTTTAAAAAAGGGAGCCTGAAGTTAGGCTACTAAATCCATACTTAGGCATCCAAATGAGTGATCTGATTCTCAAAAGACAACCAGGCTCAAATACTGCTCAAGGGTTAGTGTGCCAGTTAGATTGTTGCCTGATAGACCATAATTGATTTGAAAGAATACTTACCATCTGTTAAGTCAATGATACATGAAATAAGACTGGATTCAACAATGCACTCTTAAGTGCTTTTAAATATGACTTTACGGGTCTCCAGTTAATATGTGGTAGGTATTTCTATGATCCGTATCAATATCTGTACTAAGCAGAACTGTTAAGGTCTATTAAGACCTTCACACTCTAAGTGTCAGCTCAGACACTACCACTATCTTGGGCCTTTCTTTTGTCCCTACGTGCTGCAGAGGACCTTGTAACAGTACATAACTATGCACTCCCTGTTGTGTCTAGTTGCTGCCTATTATGGCAAATTTAATACTTTGGGGGAGATTTTCGTAGGCACAAATGGTAGTTAGGCATCCATTCCCATAAATATTCAATGGTACTTTGGCACTTGCCTTTGAAATCTCCCATTAGGTGTCTTTCTTTCAGAACATATTAGTTGTTAGTAATGGTCCCAGTCCTGCAGTCCATAGGTAAGCAGAATTCCCATTGATTGACTGAAGAGTAATGCAGAAAAAACACAGAGAGAGAGAATGTATAAACACAGTTGGAAACATTTTCAAATTGGGTTCCTAAATTTAGGCACATAAACTAGTGGCCTGATGTTCTGAAGTGCTAAGCAACTGCAGCTCCCGTTTAAGCCAATGAGAGCTGGCACCATTGAAATTCAGGCCATTTATGTAGGTGTCTAAATATGGAATAAAGCCTAATTTTTGGCATTCAAGTTTGAAAATTTTGGTTTGTTATGGAAATGTTGATATTTCTATTGTTAGAGTTGCATGTAGACTTCCATTTTAAGCCTTATTTTCTGAGCACACACTCCTAACTTTTGATTAAACAACTTGTTTGCAAATTGAAATGCTGAAAATAGCATGAGAAATTTTTTTTCTTAGAATTTGGAAAATGTGGGATTTAAAAAGTTTATATGCTACTTAATCCAAAATTACATGTGATTTAAATTAATTCCCCGTGTCTGATGATTTTTTTTTAGGCCCACACGTTCTCAACAGTGGTTGGTTTTCACAACTCCCAATGTTACATACAGAGAGGACTCTTCACACACTTAGCACATGTATTCCCATACATTTTTCAGGAGAAGATTATTTAAGAATCGCCATCCATATGGAGTGAAACAATACTATAGAGAATAGAAAGGAATCAGTCTGGACAGGCCAGTTTAATTATTGTAGGAAGGGTTTATATCTATTCATTAATAGTTTTGTTTTTCATAAGTACCATCAGAATCTAGGAGGCTCAAAGAATGGGATGGGGAAGAGAAGTAGACTGGAGAGAGAGAAGATGAGGATTAGATGTGGTCCACAACTACAGAAGAAAACCTTGGGTTGGGGAGATGCAAACTGCTGAGGGCATTGCTGGAGGAGTGAGAAGGCAGCAGAGACTAGAGGGGAATTTTGAGGATTGGAAACTCAGAAGCATGATAGGGGTGCAGCAGGTTGAGGTGCACAATGGCAGTGAACTGTGGGGTCCCCTCAGTTTTAAGTGGAGTGGGGTGGAGGGAGTAGATTTAAGAGGTCCTTGTGAATGGAGGGGTAATATGAGGAAAAAGGGACAGGCAGATGGAAGCATATTTAGGCTTGTTGAGATAAAGCAGCCTGCTAAGGCTTGTGGTGGGATGGTGAGAGTTTCAGAGACCTGGTGCATGTTATGGGGAAACAAATGACAATTTTGAAATAAATAAATAAATAAAAATTGGAACACAAAATTATAAAACGCTTGGCTGTCAGTTCCAAGTGGAGAGAGAAACCAAACTAATTTATGTCACATTTTTACCTAAATAAAATCACATGTGGGTAAAGTTTCAGTCCCCAGCAAACTTAAAACCACTTTTTTCCCCTACACTGACATTGGAAATAAAACCCTTCAAAAATGGGTTTTACAATGAAAGCACCTAATAGATGTTAAACTATAGCAGCACTGCTGGCCAATGCATTCATAGAACTAACTGAATATAAATAACCCCACCAGTGTTGTATAAACAAAATATGCAATGCTTATAGTGTTGATACAAGATTTAATTGTAGTTGTTTAAGACAAATTCACAATCCACTCGTGGCTCAGTTTTTCTCTGCCAATTGTGAGCTGTGACCTCATTTTTTTTTAAATTCCTCCAAATAAATTCTGCATCAACACTACACTCATTGTATTATGTATCCTTTAAATACACACCTATCCATGTGCAGTGCATATATTTTGTTACTATGTTGTGGGTCTGATCCCACAGCCCTGACTCATGTGAGTCGTCCAGTACACATCGGCTCATATCCTGTGCTGTATATGGAAATCCATTTGTTATCCATAGCTGAGCATGTATATATAAAATGTGCTAACACTGGATACATTAGTTTTCCATGGTTCACTGTTATTCTTATAAATCTTGAGTACTGAACTATGTTATATGCTGTGAGTTGCTTACTCAGGAGTCATGGGGAGGAGGATAGATTCTCTATAAATTACATCAGTGCTCAGATACTATAGTGATGAGTGGCAGGATAAAACCCTGAGACAGATTTATAGTTGTTTGGTTTTGAAGTAGTAAAAATTATAAATATATTTGCATAAAATGGAGCATAACTATAAAGAATAAGAAGAGCACAGTTCTGCAGTGCTGACCCACTGGATACTTTGGGTCAAATCCTGCTCATCTCATTTAGTTAGGGGCTGATTGTGCATAAAGATCTGCTAGCATGGGGTCCTGTGCCCACATGGAGAGATCCACTGACATCAGTGGAGAATTCTGCTTAAAAAGGGTCAGAAAGATACGGCCCATTAATAGGATGCTGAACTCAGTATGACTATGCATGTGAGTAAAGGTTGCAGGATCACGTCCAAGTCCACAACAAATAATAATTCAAGTCATGTGGTCCCTGCTACCACAGAATTCCCATGACATCAGTGGGAGTTTTGCCCAGGTAAGAACTTCAAGAGTAGTCTTATAATTTTTACATGAGAAGTTCTTTCAAAATTAAACGAATCCTTTGTGGGTGGGAACAGGCAAACAGAGCAACAAACGAAAATCCTTATGAGGTGGGGCGGGAGTTGTTTCAGAAAATTATTGCTGTGGCCCTGACCCTGCAATCAATCCTCACTCCACTCCCATGACTTCAGTAGCAGCTGTATACAATGACTGAAGAATCAGACCTTGTCTTGAACTCTAGGCAGCCACAAAGATATTTTAATAAACTGTAAATTGGAGTAATTAGCTGGGGTGGGGGTAGGGGGGGAAACGTGCATGCTTTGGGAAGGGCTGAGAGTTTTTAAAGACTGTGTACAAAGAAATGATGACATGGAGTTTATTTTTTATAGGCATTTTTAACCGCCATAGGAGACAAGAACCGCAGGGCTGTCCTTGCATTGGAGCACATGTTTGCACCAGTATTGGATGGAGCTGTGTCTACTCTGCTTGGAGTGTTAATGCTTGCAGGGTCCGAGTTTGATTTTATTGTCAGGTAAAGCATCTCTTGACTTTTTTTGTTTTTTGTTTTTTTTTAAATGTGTACAACCTTGATGTCTGGTCATTTCAGTGTATCTGCTGTTTTACTACTGTGCATGCTTACATCATGGTCCTGCTTTACCTCTGCTTTATTAACTCCTTGTTACATGCTAGTTGCAATAATACTTCCTTTGCTGACGTTGGATTAAGTTCCAGGAAAATTAGACTCCCAGCCTAAAATGAAACAAAAGGGCTCCTCTATTGCCTCGTTTGCTCAGTTCTGAAATAAGTTAGCTCCAAATACCTAGTATTGTCCAGTGGTTAGCTGGATTTGACCTTTAACCCAGACTTTTCGTATGTACAGCATTTTGTGTGGAAGGGACAAGAGGAACTATAAACATCCTGAAACCAACACTCTCTTTCCCTCCCCCTCCCCGTCATCCCTGTATGACGTTTGCAGCAGGTTTTAACTGACAAAAAAATTGAAGCCCTGTTTAGGATGTAGGAAACCATAAGCGTGAACATAGACGTTTGTATTAAAATTTGTAAAGCAAAGCCTGAGGACCTGTTTATAGCTAAAGGCAGGCTGTTTCTTGTGCATTTAATTAAGAATGTGAATTTGTCAAGTATGAGAGGAGAGCAAGGTTTTCTTTTGAAGGGAATTTGAGAAATGCAGTGAAATGGATCCTATTCTATTCCAAACAACCTGTGGAGCTCTGCAAAATGGCTAATCTTAGAAGTAACACTGGTTCTTTGTGGCAGACTATGGCCCAAAAAAAAAAAAAAGAGCAGGAATGGGGTAGTGCTGGACCAAACATTCATGGTCTGATAGATGACTGGACTGTTCAAACTAAAGTGAGCTCGATAAATAGATGTAAACTAAATCAGGTCATCTAACAAAAAAAAATTTCAAGGCTATGACTGAGAGACTAACTATTGAGTTTTAGCTGTGTGTGTGAGTGTGTGTGTGTGTGTGTGTGTGTGTACGTGAGAGAGATTTGGAGAAGGCAGGGAAAGGAAGGTTATATCCTTGCCTAACAAGAATTGCATAGATTATAGCTTCATGGTCTTCATAACTACACACTATGTACCCTTAAATGCAACTTCCACCAAGTCTTCTGTGTGTCTCAGTTTTTGTTGGTGGTGAGGTAATGAGGCAGAACTATTAGTTAGGGCCTGCTCCTATAACATGCTGAGCACTTTGTAGGATTGGGCTTTTCCTGCAGATTGAATGAAATTTACAGTAACATGTTTGTTGTAATACTCTACATATTGCACACATAAGCAGAGAGTGTGCACATTTTCATGACATAGTAAATGGCAGCATGTAGTCTTGTTTGATTCCAAATTTGGATTTGATATTTGCTTAACAAATAAAATGAGCCTTTCACATTTTAAACTTTTGTTGTTTAACTTTGTCTTTGCCCATCAGTTTCTTTTTTTCTAGCACAATCTGGCTTCAGTTCCCCTTGGTTTTCTAAGACAGATGTAAAATAAACGAGCAAATCTGAAGCATTGTTACAGCGAGTGAAGAAGACTCCAAACTTCCAGAAAGGGATAGTTTAGCCCATCAATGTGTTTAGGAAGATTAAGTAAATTAACAGACATTGTATATGCTAAGTGGCCAGACTTGTAATCAGCCTGTTTATTCTAGTGTTAGATGGATGAGATGCAAATGTGTTTTAATGCCTGTTGTTGATACATGTCCCAGCATGAAGTTCTGGTAGTTTATATTAGTGAAGGAGATTGGTTCCTTGATTTTGCTAATGCAGATCAAAAATTCCAAAATGTTTACAATAGCAGGATATTTGTAGTTTTACAGGAATCTGATATTTGATCAGATGTGGAAACATAGGCAATAAAGTTTGTCGCCTACTAAACAATGTTATCAGCAGTGGTGCTGTTATTAGGAAACTTGCCCCTACTTTTCCTCCTGCACCCTGACCCTCCAAAAATTTGTCCAGGACTGAGCCCTTGAAATCATTAGTTACAACGCAGCCTTGAGTTTAGTCTGAACTCCAGCTGTGCCGAATACCAACTAGTAAGGCTTCCCTTTTACTGACAGGTTTACCTTGGTATTCATGAAGGATCCCAGACCTTAGCCCTCAATGGTGGGAAAGGACAACCACTTGTGCACTTTCCTCGTCCTCCATAGTACTTCAGCCTTTATGTTTGAATTGGCTGACGCAAAACAAGAGTATTCAGAGATGCTAAATTGTTCAACAAAAGATTAGCCTGCAGTGCAGCTCTGCCATTGTGGAGTGCTCTTACTCAGTACAATGCTGAAGCTTACTACAGAATGGGCAGCATTTTCTTGGCAGAAAGCTGGTTCCTGTGTTCTAAAAAGGTTGCAATTTGAGCTATTTGGTAAAACTGGAACTCACAGAATTCTAGGCGGAAAGTTGTGATTAATGAACGGCAAGGGAAAGCCTTACCTGATACACTAGAGATTTAATTAGAGATTCCGCTGTTAGATGCAGAAGCATTTCACAGTGGATTAGCTGCTGGGAGAAGTGGGCTTCTTTTCCTTCTAGGCTAAATTGTTTAAATTCTACACCCTTCACTTCATTTGTTTGCTTCTGCTGGGTTTTCACTAATGGGGGCCCCTTTTCATTGTATTTGTGCTTTCAATCCATTCAGCCATTCAGTTCACATTCCATATTTTTGTGTTTGTGTAACACATTTATAAATAACATTACATGCCACAAGATTTTGGTAAATTAACAAACTCATTTTTTTTCTTTCCTTTATCAACTAACACTTTGGGTTGTGGAATGTAGCTTCTCTAATCCAAAAGGTAATAAATAAATAAATACATTTATTAATAAAAAGTCATGATTTTGTACAATATTTTTAAAGTTTCTGAGACTTGCATTAGCATATTTTTCTTTTTAAAAGTTAAATTATTTTTGGGAGTAGTATGCAATCTTCTGTATTCCTAATGGTATTCATGGCCCTTTTCTCCCTCTTTTAAACAATATTTCAGGTATTTCTTTGCTGTTTTGGCAATTTTAACCATTCTGGGAGTTTTAAATGGATTGGTGCTGCTTCCAGTTCTTCTTTCATTCTTTGGACCATATCCTGAGGTCAGTAGTTACATTTATGAGCAGAAGAAATTAATGTGTCCTTTTTTTCTTTCTTTCCTAGAAACCTATTATTCACTTCGTAATTCTGATTTTTATTTAAGTTTTCTTGCTCTTTTTTTGTTTTATTTAAAAAAAATATTAAATGCGGTTTCTTTTCTTAATTTGATATTCTTGATTAGTAATCAGAAGGTGTCTTGTATAATAACCAGTGGGTTGGAAGTTGTCTCTTTGATTTAGATACAAATGCATGATTTAATTAGCTTCATTTTTAAGCAGAATTTCATGTATTAGCTGTGCCCTAGGAGCAGGGATTTCCTCAACTTTTTCATTCTACAGGCCATTTTGTGAAAGAGAGCTCCTTTTGTAGATCTGTGTTTCCTCCTAGCACTCCGGCCCCTCATTGCTTCATTCTCAAAATATTTAACTCAGCACAGCAGACCACCAGGAAGGGCTCCCCACACCAGTGGTGGTCCACAGACCACAGCTGGAGAACCACTGCCTTAGGCCACAAGTCTACAAAAGGATCCTCCCTTATCAACAAATACACTCTCGTGGTATCCTGTAGGCTTTAGTGAGATCCTGGACTGTTGTAAGGGTCCATGCGGTCGATCCCTTTGCAGGATCAGGGCCTTAAACCGTCCAATGCAAGTCCAACAAGAGAGCATTCATGGCCTTCAAACTTCCACTTGATAGCTCATTGGGTATATCACAGTTACCCCTCTAAGGCATGATCATTGAGTTTTCTCTAGTGTTATTAAAAGAGAGTAACTTTATAGCTGTATGTATAGTGTGTGTGGAGATATAGATATGGGGGAGCATGTGTGTGTGTGTGTGTGTGTATATAACTCACACACATAGAGTACTTGCTATTATGTGTGTATCCATCTGTCTATGTACATACACAGAATCATATTTTCTAATAGATATACACTATACATAACCATGGAATTACTCTTTTAATGACATACCAAGAAATATATGTATTATACACACTTACACACCCAGACATTGACAGGAATATATGTAATTATGTTCAAATCCACAGACAGGGATCATGTCTCTTTCTTTTTGGTACAGCACTGTGCACAGTAGCAGAGAATGTAGCAAATAATAAATAACAAAATGGTTTTGGTGACAAGAGTAGATGTAGTTTGGTGAAGAACATTTTTGTTGAATGTTAGTAATTATAAGGGGTTTCAATTGTCATTATTAGGTTTCTCCAGCTAACGGACGGAACAGATTGCCTACTCCATCTCCTGAGCCTGCCCCTAGCATCGTGAGGTTTGCACTGCCACCTGGACACACAAATAATGGATCAGATTCATCTGATTCCGAGTACAGTTCTCAGACTACAGTGTCAGGAATCAGTGAGGAACTCCATCAGTACGAGGCCACTCAGAGCTCTGGTGCACCAGTCCACCAAGTAATAGTGGAAGCAACTGAGAATCCTGTCTTTGCCAGATCGACTGTAAGTAACCCACATGTTGGTTTGGGGGACAAAGGGGAGAAAGTTATTTTGTTTTGGCTTTTTGGAATAATTTTTTTTTTTTTGTTTGTATAGTTTTTTTTTTTTTTTTTTTTTTTTTTTTTTTTTTTTGCTTTGTACTTCTGGCTGCAACTGGCCCAAACTTAAGAGAACTTCCAGATGATGGATGCTCAGGCTTTTTCACCCCTTCATTTAGGAAGGAAATTCAGATAAAATGGTTGTATCAAAGCACAGCGCATTTTCATCAGTAAATGCCTTTGCAGCATACTGGCTTGAGCTGGAAGTGCAGGACTGGCAGGTCCTTTGACAACTGTTCCGGATGACCTCTATGAAAGAAAAGGAAAGGGGCTCTGGAATAAATGTGGCTCCACCCAGAGCCATAGGAACCAGAGACACCCAGAGCCACGTGGGCTATCTTCATACTATAGTTCTCGTCCAGTAATACATTTTAGAGGATAAGGGCTGGTGCAGACCAGGGAAAGAGTGTCTCACGGTTTCTCCAAACCTTGGATCTGCTGTGTGTCAGCACAGTGCCCAAGCCCTAAGCCACTGGGCCAGCATAACTTTCCTTTCAAAGATAAACTAAAAAGCTCCGTCTCCTACCCCCCAGGATGCTGCATGCTGAGCTGCAATGTGGATCTGTTTTTGTTCAGCAGAGGCCTAAAAATAGGTACAAGCAGAGCCACATTTGAAGTTGGTCACGGTTTATTGACTGATGTGGCTGCTGTGCTTCACGCTTTTTACAGAGATCCAGAAACCAGATTCCTGCAATCTATACAAACCATCCCACTAACATCCTGTGTATGTACCCCAGCTGGAAGAGAGTCTTTGCCAAAGCCCAGCAATTTTGGTTATTGAACCACTTAAGTTGTAGTGCTTGCTATTTACCCCTTTCAAAAGACTGAGCAGTATGTGGGAGGTATACATAATGCTTTCAATGACAGTCCTGTGTTTATCTGCAAAGTTGTACTTCCCAGCAGCTTGTAACAATTTTGGGAGAGAACGGTCTTTGAGAAAGGCACAAATAAGACTCCAGAATGCTTCACTTCTAGAGTTAGTCCAGGACAGTACACTTCAGGGCTGCACCAGGGAAAATATTTCTATAGCATGTGTAACTTTTGTTTACATGCTTTAGGGCAGAGATTTAACCACATATCTCATTTCATTTCCAGGTCGTTCAGCCAGAGACAAGATGTCATCAGCCAAGTCCAAAATTACAGTCTAACCCAGAAGCCGGGTCCCAGCAGACATGGCATCATAACAGACAACCTAGACGAGAACTGAGGGAAGGACTACGACCACCCCCTTACAGGCCGCGCAGGGACGCTTTTGAAATTTCTACTGAAGGGCATTCTGGACCTAGCAATAGGGACCGCTCGGGCCATAGGGCTCGCTCTCATAACATTAGAAGCCCAGCATTCACTGCCATGGGTACTTCAGTGCCAGCATACTGCCAGCCTATCACTACTGTGACTGCCTCCGCTTCAGTTACTGTTGCTGTACACCCTGCTGTGCACAGCCATAACTCTCATGGAGGAGGCTTTCCATCTTACGAAGGATACCATGAAACTGACCATGGAACATTTGAGGACCCCCATGTGCCTTTTAATGTACGGTGTGAGAGGAGAAACTCTAAAGTAGAAGTAATAGAACTGCAAGATGTTGAATGTGAAGAAAGGACAAATGGCAACAGCTCAGATTAAGGTACATTTTTGTCCTTCCCAGACAATGGTGTGGGGGAGGGGGGGAGGAAGGAAAAATACAAGAATTTCCTAAGGTATCTTTCCTCCCAGCTGCTTTACCCTCTGGGATTTCCCACCCATAAATATCAGTGCATTTTGCATTAGAAAATTAGCTTGGGTGAAACAACAATACTTAGCCCTTGACATCTTCAAAGTTCTGTACAAGTATTAAAGTAAATAGTACTATCCCAATTTTTCAGGTGGGGAAACTGAAGCAGAAAATTGGATATGTCCACGGTGCAATCAGGAAGTGTGATTGCAGTACACGCAGGCATACCTGAGCTAGCTTTGATCAAACTAGCTTGCTAAAAATAGCATTCTAGCCACAGTGGCACAGGCAGCACTATGAGCTAGCCATCCAAGTACAATCCCGCCCAAGATACTGGTTAGGTACTCATGGGGCTAGCCTGTGCCACAGCAGCTACACTGCTATTTCTTATGAGCTGGTTAGCTCAAAGCTAGCTTGCTTATACCAACACGCACTGCAATTCACCTCCCAATTGCAGCATAGATATATCCATTGTTTGACTTGTCCAAGGCCATGGAACAGGAGTCAGAACCTGGATTTCCTGGTACCCAGTCCTATGCTCAGATCATTCAAACAGGCTGCCTTCTAAAGTCTCACACAAAACAACATTTGTTGGGAAGGAGTAAAACCACCAGTTACTTACATTCAAAAGAAAATGACCCTTGAATATAATGTAGTAAAAAGAATATAAACTACTTAGCCAAATCCTCTGGTGCATCAGAACTTCCATGGTTCTGCTGCACAGTGCAAGGCAGGCTGAAGAAAGTATTTGTATGGAGATTACACACATTCCTGCACAGTGCTGCTTTAAGTGGGCTCGGTCCAAGGTCTCCTGAAGTGGAGTTCTGTGTATGTGGGCATGTTCAGTGGGTTCTGAACAAATCGCCCTGTATGGGTGGAGTGCAGCTGCCACTGTTATAGCCTTTGGGCTGTGGTAACCATCACTGAGTTGCCCTGTGGATGCTCCTTCGGTTTGTCAGAGATAATTCCTGACCCTTGAGGATTTGACCCATAAAATGAAAATGAAGGTAAACTCTCCCCCACCGCCAACGGCTTTGAGGTTATAAAAGAAAGATGTAAAAATTAGAGGTGATCAAAAAAGTCAGTGTATTTCTGAAAACATTTTTGAAAGAAGTGAAAATGTTTAATTTCATTCAAAATTTTCTGTGAATTTTTTTGGGGTTCTGCCACCCCCCAAAACAAAACAAAATAGTTTTGGAGGAGGTCACTTTCTCACTGTTACTTTTTCACACCTTTTTCCAGAGGAAAAAAAAGTATGTGTGTTTTCCACACAGAAAAAAAATGAATTTTTTTGAAAAGTTTCAAAGTGTTTCATCACCACACAAAAAACGTTGAACAAAATGAAAATTTTCATTTTGGTTGAAAAGACATTTTCCATCAAAAATTTCCAAAGGGGAATATTTGACCAGTTCTAATTAAAATGCTTTGCACTTCTAAAGCTTCTATCCAAAGATTTTGAAGTATTTTTATAGTTCTATATGAATGTATCCTCACAGCTCTCCTGGGAAGATGGCAAGTAGTGGAGTCCCAAGGAAGTGGATTCTGAGGCAAAGAGAAGGCCAGGTTCAAATTTTCCAAAAGTGGACACTAATTTGGGTGCCTCAGTTGATGTCCAATTTCAGGCCTTGGCTACACTTGCAGCTGTACAGCGCTGTGAGTTAAACCTGACTTTGTGCAGCTGAGTAGGGAAAGCGCTGCAGTCTGTCCACACTGACAGCTGCCCAGCGCACTGTCGTGGCCACATTTGTGGCAATTGCAGCGCTATTGGGAGTGGTGCATTATGGGCAGCTATCCCACAGAGCACCTTTTCCCATTCTGGCGCCGTGAGTTGTGGGAAGGGGGCGTGGGTGCGGGGCATTCTGGGTCCTGTCCCAACGCCCCGTGATGCATCGCTTCGCATCCCAGAAATCCCTTTGTTTCCGTTCACCTTTGGTGCCATCTTTCAACGGTTTCTGTGCAGCGCGATCTATCTGCGGGAAATGGAGCCCGAACTGCTGAGGCGTATGTTGACTTATCTCGCCAGCACGTCACGTTTGGTTGTCGAACTATTCCTAAAGATCCAAAGTGACAGTGAGAGTGAGGAGTCCGACGATGCTATCGAGCCGCGTAACGCGTATTACACGAAATTGCTTGTGGCATTCACGGACATGCTCAGTACCGTGGAACGCTGCTTTTGGGCTCGGGAAACAAGCACCGAGTGGTGGGATCACATCGTCATGGAAGTCTGGGATGACGAGCAGTGGCTGCAGAACTTTCGGATGAGAAAAGCCACTTTCATGGGACTGTGTGAGGAGCTTGCCCCCACCCTGCGGCGCAATGACACGAGATTGAGAGCTGCCCTGCCAGTGGAGGAGCGGGTGGCTATTGCAATCTGGAAGCTGGCAACTCCGGACAGCTACCGGTCAGTCGCAAACCAGTTTGGAGTGGGAAAGTCGACCGTTGGAATCATGTTGATGCAAGTTTGCAAGGCCATTAATCGCATCCTACTCAGAAGAACCGTGACTGTGGGTAACATGCAGGAAATAGTGGATGGCTTTGCACAAATGGGGTTCCCTAACTGTGGAGGGGCGATAGATGGGATGCACATTCCTATTCTGGCACCACCCCACCTAGGATCCGAGTACATTAATCGTAAGGGGTATTTCTCTATGGTTCTCCAGGCGCTTGTGGATCACCGTGGGCGTTTCATTGACATTAACACAGGCTGGCCCGGAAAGGTGCATGACGCACGCGTCTTTCGGAACACTTGGCTGTTCAGGAAGATGCAGGCCGGGACTTTTTTCCCAGAGTGGAAGATCACAGTAGGGGAAGTTGAAATGTCCATTGTGATCCTTGGAGATCCCACTTACCCGTTAATGCCGTGGCTCATGAAACCCTACACAGGGAGCCTTGACAGCAGCAAGGAACGGTTCAACTAGAGGCTGAGCTGGTGCCGAATGACTGTGGAGTGTGCCTTTGGCCATTTAAAGGCCCGCTGGCGATCTCTGTATGGGAAGCTGGACTTGGCCGAAAACAGCATCCCCGCTGTTATATCCGCGTGCTGTGCCCTCCATAATATTTGTGAAGGGAAGGGTGAAAGCTTCACTCAGGCATGGACCACTGAGGTTCAACACCTGGAGGCTGAATTTGCACAGCCAGAGAGCAGGGCTATTACACGGGCCCAGCACGGGGCTGCAAGGATTAGGGATGCCTTGAGGGAGCAATTTGAGGCTGAAAACCAGCAGTGATATCTGGTGCCCTGCACGGGAGTGAAGTGCAGTAGTTCCAATCTTTAGGAATCAGTGTTTGCTAAGCAGACAAGCAGACTTGCAGTGCCTGTTTATTTCCTGGGCTAAGGAGTCTTTTACTTTATGCAATAATAAAGAATGTTTTCAAAGCCAAAAAATCCATTTATTGAAAAGAAAAAAAAATTATTTATTGAAAAGAAACAAGGGGGTGGAGTGGGGAACGGTACAATCACAGATTCGCGTATGTCCTGTCTGGTGTGCTGTGCAGTGAGTGCTGCACTTCAGGATAGCTATACTGCATGGTGATGGGGGTTGAGTGCAGAGGGTAAGGGTCATGGTTTTCAGGGCTGGGTGGTGAAGATACTGGTGTTGGAGGCAGTGGGTGGTGCGAAGAACACGGAAGTTGGGGAAAGTGGGTTGGAGGTGACAGTGGGGCACAACGGAAAGAGTTTTGGGACAAGGGCTGTGTGGGGGGGGGTGTTTGCGTTTGCGGTACTGCTCCTCTTTCTGCATGGCTACCAGCTCCTGGATAGCGTGTGCTTAGCGCTCCGGGATGCTTATGAGCCTATCAGTGCTTTGCTGCCGGTGCGCGGTGCTTTGCCGCCAGTGCGCTGCGTTTTCCTGGCAGATCCTGCTTTCTCTCTCCCTCCAGTTCTGTGCTTTCTCATTCTCTTTAATAGATTGCCACATCACTTCTTGCAGCATGTCTTCTTTGCTTTTTCGCGGTCTCTTCCTGAGTCTTTGCAGTCTCTGAGCAGGCGATAAGAGGGACGGCTGAGGTCTCATGGTTGATGCAGCTGTATAGGCAAAATGCAACATTTAACAGAGGCAGCATTGTTTATACCAGACAGAGTAATGATTCCCCCCGCACTTAAGGAGTAGAAAACACACAGGGTCTACACAATAGCATAATTTTCCCATCCGAAACAGAGCACACATATCCCACGGGAGCCTCAAAATGGTGAGTAAGGGGGACTGATTGTTTCAGGGCTGCACTGTCCTCTGGGTTTCTGTGCCTTGGGGAGAGCCAACAGCTTCAGGGGGCACCTACACTGAACACTGTCACAACATTTTCCACAGGAGTTCGTCCTGGACGATATCTCTCTGCTGAGGGTGACCTGGGAAGCAAGGGAGGGTCTTTTACTGCAATGCAGCTTCCGCCCTGGCCCATATGCAGCTTGCCTGTGTGCAGCAATGGTCCCCCAGCCCCTCGCGGCACAGTGGCGTGGACACGTTAGCCTGGCTGGGACAAGGACCACAGTGGCTCTCCCGATAAACCTGCGCAAGCGCATTGCACACGTTCTGGATGAGACATTCGAGGAGATTACCGAGGCCGATTACCGCGATGTGATAAACCACATCAATGCACTATTCCGCATCTAGGCATGCATGCCTAACCCTCCTCTCCCAAAGAGCCCACACCGAAAAAATTCCTTCCCGAAAAAAAAAACGCTTACCGGGAACCTGCTCTTCTGTTTGTCCTCCACCAAGTACCGGCCGCTGCGACTGGCTACCTTCCTCCTGGCTCGAGAAGAGCTCCTGGCTGCATGCCTCCAGGGATTCCAGGGTGTCTCCATCCGGCCCACCACCATCACTCCTGTTTTCCTCCTCCTCCTCCTTCTCCTCTTCCTCCCCCCCACCCCCCACCGGCTCTGAAGTGTCCATGGTGGTGCTCGGAGTGGAGGTGGGGTTAACCCCAAGTATCGCATCCAGCTCTTTGTAGAATCGGCAGGTCGCAGGGGGAGCACCCGAGCGGCTGTTTGCGTCGCGGGCTTTGCGGTAGGCACTCCGCAGCTCCTTCACTTTAATCCTGCACTGCAGGGTGTCCCGGTCATGGCCCCTTTCCATCATGTCCTTTGATACTTTCCCGAAGGTATCGTAATTCCTACGGCTGGAGCGCAGCTGGGACTGGACAGCTTCCTCCCCCCAAACACTGATGAGGTCCAGCAACTCGCCATTGCTCCATGCAGGGGCTCACTTGGTGCGTGGAGGCATGGTCATCTGGAAAGATTCGCTGATAGCACTCCACGCCATGCTGGGCTGAGCAAACAAGAAGGGGATTTTTAAAATTCCCGGGGAATGTAAAGGGTGGGTCACATGGTTGGTTACCTGAGGCCAGGGCAGTAGAGTTTGAACTGATGACCAGAGTGGCTAGAACAGGCATTGTGGGATACTGCCAAATAATTCTGGAGGCCATTCACAGCGCATTGGGCGGCCACACTGGCGCCGCAGCGCTGCAGCGGCAGTGCAATACTCGCTATTCCTCTCAGAGTGGTGGAGTACATGCAGCGCTGCAACCACGGAGATACAGCGCTGCAAATGCCTTGCCAGTGTGGACGGGGAGTGAGTTACAGCACTGGGGGAGGCTTTACAGCGCTGTAACTTGCAAGTGTAGCCAAGGCCTCAGATGCCTAAGACCTCATTCTCCTGCAGCTTCCATTGACTTTAATTGGAGTCCAGTACACAGAAATGGAGGCACTCAAAATTAGTGGACATTTAAAACATGACATCAGTGACAGAGATGGGAATACAGTCCAGATTTCCTAACTCTTGGTCCTGTACCTTAATCACAAGAATAATCACATGCATTTTGGGTTGGTTTGGCTTATTTATTTTTCTTAAGCTTTAAGTGAACGGTTGTGTTTTCTCTCTTTTGTAAAGGGTAACAACTGAAGCAAAGAAGAGGCCAAAGATGGGGAAACCTCCTCTTTCCAGAACTGCTTGAAGAGAACTGCTTGAAGTTATGGAAAAGGACATGCTGCATCAGGATAACAGTTCACTGTTACTGTAACCTATTGTATTATGTTGTTAAATATTTCTATAAATATTTAAAAGGTGTACACATATGTAATATACAAAGGAACAATGTAAAGTAGTATAATCTGGAGTTAACTCTTGTTAATAGAGTGGGACAATATTGTTTGTGTTCTGTACTTATTGTACATTGATCTCTGTGCCACAACTAAGCTTAATCTAGTCCTAAATTTCAGCATATGTTGCTGCTGCTTAAATATTGTATAATTTACTTGTATAATTCTATGCAAATATTGCTTATGTAATAGGATTTTTTGTAAAGGTATGTGTTTAAAATATTTTAAAATTTGCATTTCACAACCCTGTGGTAGTATGAAATGTTACTGTTAACTTTCAAACACGCTATGCGTGATAATTTTTTTTTTAAATAAGCAGATATGAAGAAAAGCACGTTAATCTTGGTGGTTTAAGTAGGTTTAGCTATGTGCAGGTTTTGTTTTGCTGTGTGCATGTGTGTGTATGTATGTTCCCAGTGTACTGTAGTGTAATTTTTTTTACTGTATGGTAACCCTTAGTGGGCTCATTAACTCACTGATGCTGGCAGAGTCAGGATTTTCCTATTGCTAAGTGCCAGTGAAAAATGCCTTGGCACTTAACAACAGAATCTCCAGACTGCTATTGTCAAAGGGATGATTAAAATAGAAGAGAGGACAGGTGGTCAGGGCATATGGATTCTATTACTAAATCTTCCACTGACTTGCTGTGTGTGACTTTGGGCAAGTCACTTAACTTCCCCATGCCTCAGTTTCCACATCTGTAAAATGGGTATAATAATACTTATCTACCTCCTAGGGGTGTTGTGAGGCTTAATTACTGTTTGGAAAGTGCTTTGATATCTTTTGTGAAAGGTGCCATGTAAGTGCAAAATATAATCATTTTCCTTAACTGCAAGGGGTGTTGGGTATTGAAAGTTGCTAAAATCCAGTTAGCATATGCCTTTGTATGTACTGATGCCATATTTTGATATTGATATTGTAAAACAGAGTGGTACTGGAATAATCTGGTTGTTTATTTCAGTAACGGCACAGTTCAAAGCAATCTGGCATCCCTCATCACTTTATTTAAATGGCAGAAAGCAAGTTAATATAAAGTGACAAAAATTACATTTTTTTTAATTATTATTTTCTTCATCTATTTTCACTTCTTATTTTACTGATCTGCTTGATACAGGACCATAATGATTGACACCTTAGGCCTGGGGTGATTTTCCCCCCTCCCCTCTAAGGTAACTCTTACTGCATTAGTACTTTTAATTAAAATAGCTAAACTGAACTGGGAGCCGTTCATTAATCTAATTTAGCTTCTTTTCTTTTTTTAAAGTTAAAATTGAATTTTTATATATATATATATATAAAACAAATATTCAGTTTAGAAAAAACACAAGATCTGTGTTTCTAAATACAATTGGCCACTCTAGGCCAGGCATTGTTTGATTGGAATTTGTACTTCTCCAGTGGCTGAAAGGGTCTTTTCCTGCAGGCCTCCCCAGCAGAGTGGAGCAGTATGACTATCATGCACAAATTGTCATGCCTTTTTTGCTCCCTTGAAAACGCTTTGATGTGAGGCACTTGTTTACACGTATCCAAAGTGAACACTAAAAGAACAGCTGATGAGCCTGGCATTGTCCCGGTGGTACATAAGCTACTGTTTAGATGCACACTAAGGGTTAATCCCGTAACTGCCTACTGGTCCAGCTCACTGTCTAACATGAAAACTCTTAATGACAAAAAGACAACAGGCCCCAATTTAGCACTAGCAGTGTAGTGACCTCAGATCATAAAAACTCTGCAACAAAACTGTATGATACTAATTGGAAGCTACCTTCAACTGCCAAGTGTACGTGTTACTGTGTCAGAGGTCACTATGGCTTCCCACTGATATTGCTTTGGTATCAGTCAGTCACTCCCCCACCCCCACTTTTTTTTTTTTTTGGTAGATGGTGGGAGGGAGGGAGCAAGGAAGTGTTTTGATGTCTCATCTCTTCTCCCCTTCTCCCCCTGCCCCCCAATTCCTTATTCTGTGTGTTTGTGCGTGGGTGAACTGTCTGCTTTCTGCACAATGTAGACCTTTTCTCCTATAGTCACATTGGCAAAGGGAGAACTCAGTGGCTGGCAACTTTGTGTTTTATGGTTTGTTTTTTAACTTTTTTTAATCGTGGGTGATATTTATATTTTTGTATCATAAGAATGTTTCCTTACAGTATTTGTCATGCCAGTTTATAACAAACAAAAATGCAGGGATTTTATTTCTATTGGAAACACTATTACAGCTATGTTTTTACTTTTAATGGAATTTTTATTTGTATAGAGTGCTTACTAATGTTAAATAGGAAAGAGTATATAACATTTACATTAAGGACTCATTGTAGGTTTTAGTGTAAGGAGTAAAAAGGAAAAAAATATTCAAACTGGGTCTCATTGCCTGCCTATTTTGGCAGGAGTGGGTTTGTGTCATTTCAGTTACAAAGATAAAAGTATGCCATATAATTTATTTATATGAAAATTTATTTTTGTAGTGTACATAATAGTCATCAAGTCTTTTGACAGAAGTATATTTTTAAAGAGTTTATATGTAATGATGATACCATTATGTTTTGGAACATTGCTGAGACATGATTACAGTGCACACTTTTCATTTTAAACCCAATTGCGGAAAAAGAAAATGTTTAACAGTGTTGAGAAAGAAAGAGAGTGTGAATATTCATACAATTCTGAATTGTGTTTTAGTTACCATTTGTGATCTAGTGTGGTTCTCATTTTAAACCTGGAGTGGCAATTGTACAAACTCTCTAAATATTAATGTTCAAACACTGATAGAAATTCTAACATGAATAAAAAATATTATAACTTATTGATTACGTATTTGGTTGTTTGTAGAATGCTTTTTTTTACAGTACATAAGCTATGTAACAGAAAAGTAGCAATACTTCTTGGCAGTGTAAAGCAGTATGATTGACCAACTTACTAGATTCTACAGTCAAAGGCTTCAGTATTAATGCACCAGTTCTTACTTTTTATTACCAGAGTTGGGCCTGAGCCAGACATGAAAAACTGAATCCTCCTACTGAATTTCAGATCTCCGTAATTGGCCAAACCAAACCCAAGATCTCGAATCTCCCAAACTTGGGGTTTGAAACTGGGATCCTCCAGTGTTCAAAGTATTTGGAATCTGTGTTCAGATTTGGCCCCTTCTGGAGGTAGATCCAAGCTGTAAATCCAATCCAAACTACAGATGCCAGGTTTTGGTTTGGCCCCCTCTCTGTTTACTCCTACCTCCCTTTGTATAATCTATCACCCTGTGAAACTGTGGATTATTAATTGCATGTTTTTCAACCAGAACATAATTTTGCATAAACATTTAAAAATATTGGAGTCAAATAGTCTTCAACACAGGTTATTTCTGCATAGGAGACTAGAAATTGGCCTCTGCATATTTGGTTGTTCCCCAAGGTATAGGGAAGAGAGAGGACAGATTTTGTCCACTCTGTGGAAGAGTCAAAGGAGTTTGATTCGTGAAACTTGACTTGCACAAGAGGTTGGGGTCTAGTTTTGCAGGAGCTTTGCCAATCCTGTCTTCCAGAATGCTGCTTCCCAAATCACCGTATCTATAGTTTAGGAAAGGAAGGGTATTGTTATGCATTGGAGAAAACTAGTATAGATGGTGACCAGGTCAGCATTCACTCACACCAGGAATCCCTGTGTGGTTTGTAGAATGCAAAAATGCTATCTAATCAAAGTGCCATATGGCCAACAATCTCCCAATTCCACCCCATATTTACAAGCTGCTTACAATACATCCACCATTTGACTCTCCGCTCGCACTAGTGGAAGACTTGATCAGGCTCTTGGTTTATTCACATTCAGTCTTTCAGTGCCAAATATCTATTTTCCTTTTTCATCCAAGGTGATATTTATAAACTATCTGGAAGATGAATTGTAAATTATTAATTTGGTTACAATTTACGAACCTGGATTGCAAACCCTTACTTACATGTACTGTCATTACTCACATAAATAGTTCCGTTGCAGTTCATAAGACTAATTGCAAGAGCAAGGAGTCAGAAAAGGTTTGCATGGCTAGGCCTTAAATGTATTATAATCAGAGCAAACAGAAATTTTGTATGCAAATAATTTTGTTCACTGAAAAATGCAGTTTTAAGTTAACAAAAACTATTCGTGAATTCAGGTCAAATTTGGTGAATATTTTTGGCCAATGTTTTGACTGACTTTTCATTTCAAAAAATACATTTTGTTTTCCAAATTTTAATTTAAAACACATTTTTAAAAGTTGTTTTTAAAAAAATGAAAACAATCATTGTGGGTTAAACAAAATATTTTGCTTCAACAAAAATAGAAATTATTATTTATTTCATTAAGAAAAACAAAAAAAGTTCATTTGTGTTTGATCCAAAGTGAATTTTTTTTTCAATTTTTCAGCTCAACCACTGAACTCAAAAAAATCAGTTATTCATCCAGCCCTAATTATAACCCATAATATGGTCAATGGTAAGTAAAATCATGCATCCTGACCAGTTGTTAATGCTAACAAGGCTTTTCCAGTCCCAGTAATTCATGAGAATCATTCAGTGCATTGAACTGGAAAAATATTAATATGCTGACAGTTTCTTACAGTCAGAATGGAGTATTTTTGTTTTAAAATCCCATTTTGCATTAAAAAAATATAGCTATTTACCTTGTATTACTCTTCATGGTTATATTTCTTATAAATGGCACATTTTCTTACTTTGCGTCTTATTAACCTCAGGTAAAACTTTACTTAGATTTTTGTCAGAAATCAACCATATTTATTCAGGGCTTAAGTAAACATGTGGCTGAATTTTTGTTGGCATAATGCATATATTTAACAGTTCCAGGAATGTTGCGTGCTGCTAAACTGCAGCAGCATTGATGTATAAACAGGTGTTTCATTTTTGGTAACTTACCTCCCTAATGAGAATCTGAGACACCAGCTGCTTATATCTGAAAATCACCTTTGCCAAATTTTAATTACTTTTAAAGACTGACACAAATAATGAGAACAATTACTAGTTCCCTAATCCATTTAATTATTCCTATCCTATTTGTTGCAGTCATGGTGGACCCCATTACTGGCCCCGGATGCATGCCAGGAAACTAGTAAGTGGCTTAAAAATACTTTCCCATTCTAACTTTACACAGTCAATTTTAGCTAATAAAAATTAAATGAGAGGGAGTGTGCAGTCTCAGATTCTTAAGCCAAAAAGCTGAAGGGATACTATCCTATTTGGACAGATGGAAGTGAAAATGCAGTCAACCAGTGGGGGCATAGCAGAAGTTAAGGAAGCTCGCCCCTCACACTCTGGCTCTATTAACAGTTGAATTCAAATCAAGGCGCAATCTACAGTAACTTCTTTGGGGAAATCTCCCATCATTTCACTACCACCACTGCAGCTTCATCAGTGGGAACATAAGTATAGACAGAGCACTGGCATTTTCATCATTGTACCAGCTAAACCTGCTCTGCTCAGCTTTAGCTGATACATGCTAAAAATCCTTGGGTCCTGTGCACCCTAGCACTTCCACCACTATCTCCGCTGGTGCAGCTCCACCAGTCATAGTGAGACAGTGGTAGATTCCCCAGAAAGGCTAATATAGACAGAGCACATGCTAATTCAGAACTATTTTTTAAAGAAGGGTCTTGCTCGAAAGATGCTACTGACTCACTGGCTCATTCAGTCTGTTGCCTCTGTAGTAACGCGGGCTCCGATCCTCCAAGGCAGTGT